TCAAGATGAAGTTGTGTAATTGCCACCATAGCCAAATAACCTCACTTCCCATATTTCGTATATGTTGTAAGTTTTACCCCCGTTGAGCTTTGTTTAGCCTTTATTCTTTGTCAACCCACATTATCCTCACCTAGCCTAGTTTAGGACAATCCACACCTTTGTTCTTAGAAGATAGTGAGCATGACTTAAATGAATTCCTTTTGAGTTACATTATGCAAGAAAATGAGTGTGGGAGAAGGAATGCTTGTTCTTAAGTATGTTTTGAGTTTCAAAAGAAAAGAAAAACAGAAAAGAAAAGAAAGAAAGAAAAAAGAGCTTGAAAAAAATGAAAGAATGAGTGATTGAAGTAAGGGCTCAAAACACCAATTCTGGCCCTAAATTGTCTCCCTTTTTGTTCCAAAGTTGAGTTTTCATTCAAAAGTGAATTCTAAGTTGATTCAATTGCCTTGCTCACTATTTCTTTAAGAACCTTTGTTTTCCATATCCCTTCTTTGTTATCCACACGCCCCAAGCCCCATTACAACCCGTGACTTCAATCTTGAGTGTTATGTGTTTCAATTTGTGGAGTTTGAACTTGGTATGAGCATATGGTGTCACTGGTTCTCGCGTCTAAGTAGTAGCATTCCATTCATGAGATCATAATCTAAACATGCTTATTAACTCCAAAAATTGCGTTCTTTGTGATACATATATGTGAGTGTTCGTTTTCATGTTTACATCAATCTTCTCACATATGACTAGATTAGGGTGTGTAGTTAGAAAATCTGAGTGAAAATTGAGTGCATATCTTGTAAGGAATTGAGCAAATTCTCTAAGGCATGTTACTACATTCAAAACATGGTTTTAAATGCTTAATTGTGAACTAGTATGTGGTGACTATGATTAAGAATGTACTTAAGGGTAAAGATGGCTAAATTCTGTGGGAATAATAATTTTTAACTTGTCATGTGCATTGGAAATCCCTGAAACGATTGTTGGAAGGTGTAGGTTGTGTTTTACGTGTTTAGTGTCGTTTTGTTTATTTGTTTTTATTCTGTTTTGCTCGAGGACTAGCAAAAGATAAGTGTGGGGGAGTTTGATAGGAGCATATTTAGGCGACTTACTTAGCTTGTTTTCGTGCATCTATGTTGTTAATTCATAGTTGTTTTAGTAGTTTAAGCCATTTTCGTGTGTTTTTAGATTCATATGGCTAAGGAAGCAAAAAGATGCATTTTGGAGCATTTTGGAGCAAAATTGGGCTTGGAATGGATAGCATATGATTGGAGCCAAAGTGTTGGACGAATTTGAAGGCCTTGTATTCATTTTGGACATAAAACAAAGGGCCTAGCCCATTCTCTCTTAAACCAACCCCAAGGCCATGCATTTCCTTCCAATTCCAAAGCCCACAATCACTTCAAAAGCCATGCAAAGAACCATCCATTCCATCAAAAACAATCCATCAATTCACATGCAAAACCACCATTAACACACATGCACCCAAACAAAGCCAACCTAGCTAACCCTACATGCATTCTTTATGCAACTCTTCATCATTCCACCATTCATTCTTTATTCCACAAACAAGTCACATGCATTTCCACCTTCCTACTTCATCATTTCACCACATTCTCCCTCTTTAACTCATTTCATTATTCATTCACTTTGCATTCATTCAATTCCACCCCACATGCACCCTTTATTCTTCATCATTGCAACCATGGCACATTTACGCCAACAAAACAACTCCCATGCCATGGCCTACTCATATTCCCATTTCCTTTCCAACATCTCACATGCATTTCCACCTTCCTACTTCATCATTTCACCACATTTTCCCTTTTATTTCCACATGCAATTCTTCATCATTGCAACCACAAACACCTTAAACAAATAGCCATATACATCTCCACTCCTCCTATAAATACCCTTGCATTCATTCATTCACAATCTCATCTCCTTCACAACACAACACACCACAAACACTTCCTTAGCCGTGAGTTTCTCTCCCTTAGAATCCAAAAACCATCTTCCATTTCCACCACTCCTCATCCATTTCCATAATTCCCCAACACTTCCATCCCCCCAACCAACTATCCCTAGACCTTATGCTACAATAAAGAGGAAGAGAAGAGTGCCTAAACGTTCATACAATTCAAGATTGAGTTGTTGGAATGTTTAGGCGTTTCTTTGATTTCAATGTTTAATTTCAATTCTCTTTGTTTTGTACGTATGAGGAAATAAACCCCCTTTAGCTAGGGGGTGATTCGAAACTATGTTTATGTTTGTAATATGATTTGATTACTTTTAATTACGTTTCATAAGTTGTGAATTCAATTTGTTTAACTGTTTAATTGATAACCTATTTATGTATGTTTATTAAGAATGAACGCTTAATTTTCATGCATGAATTTGACGCTAGAATATAAGTGAGTTTCACGTAATAGTTATGAACTTATATGCACAAGTAGTGGAGGTTGCTTATAAACAATCGTGTTAAACATATTCTTGGCATAAGTTTCATGCAATCATAGTAACGAATGTCTCGTCAACACTTATAGTTTTCATGATGCTTAATGATTCTTGCTTGTATCTCTATTATGCAATTCATGTAGGGAACTTGTGAGGAATGCTTTGGATTGTCGTATGCAATCATCCAATTCATTAACTTAAGGAAAACTTGACGGTTAATTTAAGCGGACCTAATTAACCCGGGGCGTTGAGAATTCATGGTTTATTGAAAAGCAATTAGACATCGTTTTGTATGCAAGTATAATATATGTGGAGATGAACCCCTTAGCTAGCTTCCCATCCATTCATTTCCGTCAAATCCATATTTACAATTTGTTTTATTTCCAAGTTTCCATTTTTAGTTTAAAGTCGTCCAAATCCAATCCCCCTTTACTTTATTGTTCAATTTAGTTAGAAATCAATTTAGTTTGTGTTTTTAAAGCATTTTGAGTCTTTTGGTTTTTCTTAGTGTTTTAACGTTTAGTTTCACATTCTTTGAGTCTAGTTTAGTGTTTTATCTTGTTTTTACGTTTTTGAGTCAGTTTCCAAGGTTTTAGCAATCCCTCCTAATCCCCGGTCCAGAACGATCCCTACTTATACTTATACTACAATTGACAAAAAGAGGGTTTAATTTGTGTGCGTATAAATCTCGCATCAGTGCCCTCCAAGTTTTAGCTGCTGAGTTTGTATCGACAAGGATCTGTGGCGAATCTTAGTATTGATGGATATTTCTGAGGGTATGATTCTTACCCACACTCCTGCACCTTACTTATGTTCTGACATCGTGCGTGAAATGGGTTCGCTCCCGCTCACAAAGCACTCTGGTATTAAAAATTTTTAGGTTCAAATTATTCACATTTTTCTACACTCTATCACATTTTAGGGCTTCGTCACCTTCCAGGTGTCGGCCAGCACAACTCGATTCAAGGTCCAAGTGGACTTTCTGGGTCGGGATGTGTCACTTTATATCGAGAAAATTGTGTTGAGCTTAAATAAATGGATCTACTTTTTAATTAATTTAATTTTTTTAGTAGAGGTTAATCCCAATCCAGATTCCAACGAGTATATCAATTTTTCATTCATAAATTGATATTTTGTCTTAAATTATGGTAATAACAACTAAAAACTTATGACTGGTTTGGGATTGTGGTGCTTCAACAAAAACAAAAACAATAAAAAAATATTACAAAAAAAAAAAAAAGAAAAAAGAAAAAGCTTATGAAAAAAATGAAGAATATCAATGACAGTAGAAAAGCATAAAAAAATAAAAAGAAGGTCTACCATGCTTATAAAGAAAGTGTGTTTTTTTATTAAATCAGGTAATCATTGCCCATTTATCAAATTTTTAAATGGCAAGTTTCACAAAATTACAATTTTTGCGTCTACATATTATTTTTAGTCATTTAACATATTCAAAGCATCCAAGAGTTTTTTTTCTCCTTTCTCTCTCAAAGAAAATTCCCAAAAGAAAACCTTGCTTAGCCACTGGCCCTAGCCTTTGGTTTTAGGGTCGGTGGCAGTCCTCAATCTCTCCTGCTTTCTTCTACTTTTCCTTCTTTTCTTCCTTTACTTTTCTTTACCTATGCTTTTATTTGAGCTCTGTCTCATCTATCTGAGTTTTTGTCTCAGTTTTGTACCCTTTCCTTAATCAATTACCGGTCACCGCCATCCTTCTCATCCTTCCCCATTACACCATTTTCTCCTACCTCCCTCTTCCTGCCCTTGATCTTTTCCAACTCATAACCATGAATTAGATCTTGGAGTGTTGGGCTCTATTTTGATACAATAACTAACCCACACAGCCTAATGTCGATTTGGCTTATCGGAAAAATTGGGCGAAGTGTGGAACGATTCACGTTAGAACGAGGGTGTTTTACATACCCACTTTGCCCTCCCTCTCCTCATGTTACGTTTGGTGATTTTTCTTGCAAGTGTGGCTATGGAGGCTTTGCCCCTTAGTGGATTGATTCTACGCAATACTCTCAGATCTAGTTTTCGGTTCGGATCCATTTTTCAGTTTCATGTGATGTCTTCCTTTGCAAAGGTAGCAGCAGTTGCAGTGGTGGTGACTGGTTTTTGGCTACTGGAGCTTAGAGTTTTACTGATTATTATTTCTTTTGTAGCCTACGAGCCTAAATCTGTGTGGGCCCCCTTTTGTGGCTGGGGTCGTAGCTTTCCTTTTTGGGCTTGTCTTCTAGTTTATGTTTGTTTTGTTGTGTACGGCTTTGTGCTCTGTTTAGGTTTAGGCCTTTCTAGCACAAACTGTATCTCCCTTTCATTAATGAAGTTTTATTCTGAACCAAAAAAAAAAAAAAAAAACATATTCAAAGCAATTTATATAAAAGTTTACTAAACACTCAAACACTCCTTTTTATATATATATATATATATATATATATATATATATATATATTAAAAGCACTTTTACAACAAAAAAAAAAACAGTTAACCAAATACTCAACAACTTTATTTTACAACTGTTTATTCTCACAGCACAACATAAGCTGTTTTTTTTTTTTAAGTACATCAATACCAAACTAGCCCTCATTACCGTGGCCAACTGGTCTAAATGGATATTTATTTCTAATTTTATTTAAGATTAAAGATTAATCAAAATATTATTCTCATTGTAGGAGGAAAGTAAGAAACTCTTACTTATGAAAAGGTAAATGTACCATCAACTGGTCTAACTCTTTGAGTTGAGACTTAAGATCAGATTCGAATCTGATTCAAGTTTGCTCTGGCTTCAATCACATGGTGCTTATTGGATTCCAAGTAGTCCTTATAAGTCATTTCACGATAAAAGGGTGGGTTGTGCTCGTCTACAAACTCGGGTGCAGGCCTCACAGTTGCTTCTAATGATGGTCCAAAAAAGAAGGGTAAACTCTTCCTTTCCACTTCGTTGGTCAAAGCCACCCGATGCAACAAGCTCTTGTACTTCCCATTGGTCAGAATCTGCATTATGCATGCCATGCATCATATTCATGAACAACCCAAGAAGTTTTTCCCCAATTATTAAAAATAAAACAATAAAACTATTTGAACATATACAACTGATATATTTATTGACACACGCTTCCTAATACAAGTGTGTTATAACATTATATGTGAGTCTTATGTTTATTAGACAATATTTTAGTTTTGTGTGTCCAAGTAATATCACGCAAAATAAAACATAGCACAAAAGTTTTAATGAATGAACCAAATAGGATTATAGTAACGATCACAACCACACCCTTTTTCCTCTTTCTACACACCTCTCTTTCTAAATATTGTCGGATTAAATAAATCAAACAAAAAATAATAGACATGATTAGACAGAAGTGTGTAAGAGAAAAACAAAAAGTGTATACGTAGTTCCCATAGGTTAAACACTATAATTTTTCGTATGTATTGTTAGTCTTTCCATGTAATTGATCCACGTGTTTGGTTTAGTCTTAACACATGTGATTAGATTTGGATTAAACACTTTAATTTTATCAAGTGAGAAAGTTGGGAGAAATGTTGAACTTTGTAGCATTCGCGTTAAAAGTGTTGTGAATTAGATAGCGTTTATTCGTGGAGAAGAATTTAAATGCACCTCTATATGGTCAGCAACAATGACAAAGATGGAACTCGGAGGAAAGTTTGCATTGAACCACTTTTTCTGGTGCTCAATCTGAAGTCCCCCATCAACGTCTTGAGCAAGGAGGACAAGTAAGCCAGGGTCACGATGAGGGAATTGGCCAATCTGATGCTTGTCGTCCGATGAATGCGACAGCGCCGGATAGTAATTTGGTCCGAAAACATTATAGCCAGATTCCAGGTTCATTTTCTTCTCTATGTAGTCCTCTTCAAGCCCTAGGGATTTTGAAATCCCTCTAAGTAATTGGACTCCCATTTCTCGCATTTTCTCACAATACTCTTGTAAAACCCTGCTAATTAACATCAGATGATAATTAGGTAAATGGTCCTTAAAGACGTAAATTAGGTAAATATACTTTAAAGACGCACAACTGACACACTTGCTAACACTCTTTAATATAAGTGGGTTCCACATATAATGATACGGCATACCTCTATTAGAAAGTGTGTATCAATTTTGTGTGTACTAAAAGTATTATTGTACACATTAACATGGGTTACATGTTAGTTAAGTTTAAAATATTCTAATTTCGTATTGATGGTATGAGGTTTCCTTTTTGTTCAAAAGTGAATGCATGCATGCATAGCCAATATGGTATGTTAGTATGTTTGATAGAAGCATGCTTGTTTACGTGGAATTGGCAGGCTTTGTTGGGCAATGAAAGGTGGGATGTGCTCTCATGTGGAGAAGCTCTCTTTGGGTTCTGCCACCCCACCGGAATCTGATTTTATCCTTCGAATCATTTGTCTCATATCGTCGCTTCTCCTCGTCATTCTGATAAAAAAATTTGGAAAGCCAATTCATAACACTCCCCATCAGGCTGTCCGGGATCCCATGATTCGTCACCTGCAAAATCATCAAGTTCAATACAACTAATCATCCTCCTTCTAGCTAAATGTGTGTTGTGATATATATATATATATATATATATACATACATATATATATATATATATATATATATGGTATGGAAAGTTGCAGACAACCAATCAAGGAGAAAGAGGGATGTAAGTACGTACTGTAAAGAAGCCAAAGTTGAGGCAAGCTTCGTTAAGGTCACTGATGGCTTTAGTACGTTTTAGAACATCACCGGAGATGAGCATGGAGTAGTCAATGACTGGATTTGGAAGTATATAACATGATTCACCTTCATATCCTGAAAAGGAATTGACCAAATTCTTATTTTTCGACACACTGCTCGAGTAAGGCCTTTGGCTTTGAGTAGAAAGCAGTGGAGTAGTTACTTCAGTTCCAGCCATTTTTGCCTGTGTGTTTGTGTTGAGAGAGAGAGAGAGAGAGAATAGTTGCAGTGGAGAAAAGCTCAGCTATGTATGCAAAAAGCAGGCTCACAAGCGACCCTTTTTATAGAATAAACATGGATAACTTCGTATAAACACACATAACTTGTGAAAAATTAAGGAGGGACCAGCACTAAGCACGTTTTTCGCGTCCGGAAGGTATAAAAGACGTAAGGAGATATGCCTGCACATGTTTCATGGGACGCTTTGTCATTATCTGTTTTTTTCTTTTTTTTGGTTGAATGTCACTATCTGTTTATGTCGTTAAGAAGAATGCTATGACCTATACATAAATTTAGATTACATTTAAATTTCCTTTTATGTGAGATTTATTTGTATTAGAGTGATAATGTAATTAAATGCGGTTCACAAAATATAATCTTCCTAACATAACTCATTATGTTATACAACAATTTGTTTATTTTAAAGGAAAATGTTAGGCAGAATATATTTATGTGTAGTACTAGTATGTGAACATTGCGTTATTTTTTAATATGGGTGGAACTTACTTGCATTGCTGTGCTCTATTTTTATTTTATTTTTTCCTTATATTTTGTTCTTTGCGTTAAAATTTTCAACGGCGGAAATCGATGGTGCAATTTGTGTATTGAGTTTTCCTGGTACAAAAAACTAGAAGCTTGCTTGTGTTTTTTAAGTTGTGTCTAGTCTTAGGATTGAAGTTAGAAGTCAAGTCGGGATTGGACGGTTCGATTGGAAGATACTATCAACATAAACATGTACTTTAAGGAATTCGAGCAAGGTAAGTGTCCCATATGTGCATTCCTCTACTGCAAGAATAGTTCCGTGTCGTTCTGTGACTGGATTGCGGCGTATGTCAAACAGTAAAAAGAACAAGGAAAAAAAATCTGCTGCCGCTGCTTGCTTGCCTTGGTGCAGCGTGTGAAACAGCAATTTTACCTTTGTGTACGGTGTACAATTACAACCATGTACAAAGTACAAATGTTGTGCTTAAGCAATTGCACTATCGTGTAGGAGTATTCTGCTGCAGGTAGGTCTCGTGTGCATTCTTCTTGTGTAATCGTGTGTTATTGCAATGGAGAACACATGTTGGATTTTGGAATCTGATGCAAAGGATGATATGACGTATGATAAACCTTTTTTCAATCTATGACACATCCTCATAGAAAGTATGTGGCAACTGCCAATGGTACTACTATTTTTGTTGTCGGAGTTGGAATAGTGTGCCTTGCACCCTCTCTCATCTTATGTGCAGTCTAGAATTCTTGTTTGGCTTTTCTTGTCAAATCTTGTAAATTGTATCACACATGCTCTAGATAGTTTTACAGTTAAATGCCACTTTTGGAACCTTGGCCGGAAATATTATCTCAAGGGCTTAACTTCTCACAACTACTCATGGTGATATATGGTAAGTAAAGTAGTAGACAACTAATCAAGGAGGAAGAGGGAGGTATGTACGTACTGTGAAGAAGCCCAAGTTGAGGCAAGCTTCATGAAGGTCACTGATGGCTTTAGAACGTTTTAGAACATCATCAGAGATGAGCATGGAGTAGTTAGTGATTGAATTTGGAAGTATATAACATAATTCACCTTCAGCTCCTGAAAAGGAGTTGACTGACTTCTTATTTTTCGACAAGCTACTCGAGTAAAAGCAAGGCCTTTGGATTCGAGTAGTATGTAGTAAAGTAGTTGCTTCAGTTCTAGCCATTGTGCCTATGTGTTTGTGCGCAGAGAAAGAGAGAGGGGGTTGTAGTAAAGAAAAGCTCATCTATGCATGCAAAATACCAGACTCGCAAGCAACCGTATTAGAAGAATAAAAAGGTTTTTTTATTAACAAACAATATTATATATGCTAAGAAGGTGGGAGAATGGGCTAAGCTTCACAATGTGCTATCAATAATGTGGCTCAATAAGATGATTTTTAGAATATAAAGGTTTTTTTATATCTAAAAAAGGACCACGACATGCCACTGTGGAAATTTAAGTTGATTTAAATTTATATTTCATAGATTGAAAGAATGTACAAGAAGGTATATATAAAGTGAGGGAGATAGATACAAGCAACCTTCCCTTGACAAACTTTACTAACAGGGTAAACCCTAAAGTTATCACTCCTTAAATTAAGGGAGTGCAGCAAGCAGGTATCACACAACTATCAACAAGTCATCTAACTGTCAATCTTTCTCAAATTAAGGGATTAGGCCTAATAATGAATCCCATGGAAAGAGGAAACTGAAAATTGGCAGCATGGGTATCAATCAACCTATATCTCAGCCCATATCGTCCAGTACTTCCCCTTAAGCTAGATCGAGCCAAGCTTGTCAAGGAGACGCTGAAAAGGAACTGAAGGAAGTGTGTTTGTGAACACATTCACTAGTTGATCATGACTACGAGTGTAGATGGTTTAAATAACTTGGGATTAAACTTGTGCCCTAATGTAGTGACAATCTGCCTCAATGTGTTTGGTCATTTCATGGAACATTGGGTTAGCAGCGATATGCATGGCTGCTTGATTGTCACACATGAGTGACATTGGAGTAGAACTAGATAATCCCAAGTCTAGAAGTAACCCTTTGAGCCAAATTAACTCACATGTTGTCGATGCCATTGCACGATATTCAGTCTTCACACTAGAACGTGCAATAACTTGTTGTTTTTTGCTTTTCCGTGTGACAAGGTTTCCTCCAATAAACGTACAATAGCCAGTGGTAGACTTCCTATCAATTGCATTCCCGGCCCAATCTGCATCGGTGTAACCACTGATCTGAGGGCAATGGTTGTTCTTCATAAGAATACCTCTACCAATAGAGCCTTTTAGGTAGCGTAGAATTCTTTTGACAATGAGAAGATGTTTCACAGATGATGCATGCATGAATTGACTAACCAAACTCACAGCTTAGGTGATATCAGGTCTGGTTATGGTAAGGTATATAAGCTTTCCAACTAACCTTTGGCAATGACTCACATCAGTAAGAGGTTCTCCATCCATATCAAGCTTTAGCTGACTATCAAAGGGAGTGATAGCAGGCTTACAATCGAGTAATTCAGCTTCAGTGAGAAGATCCACAACATACTTGTGCTGATTTAAAAACAAACCCTTTTGAGATGTTGCCATTTCAATGCCAAGGAAGTATTTTAGTTACCCCAGGTCCTTTATGGCAAAGGTGTATGATTGAGAGATTTCTTGAAAGCTTCAATTTCAACTTCATTTTCACCTGTGATGATGAGATCGTCCACATAGATGAGAACCACCAATATACTAGCTGATCCTTTACGAGTGAACAAGAATGAGTTCGTATTACTTCGAACAAAACCAACAACTTCCAACACTGAACTTAATTTAGCATACCATGCACGTGGAGATTGTTTCGAACTATAGATTGCTTTGTGTAATCGACACACCATACCATTTTTACCATGAGAAAAAGAACCCTAACGGAGTTCATTTTGGCTACTGGAGCAAAAGTCTCCTTGTAGTCTACTCCAAACGTTTGAGTGAAACCACATGCAACCAATCTGGCATTGTGACGTTCAATTGATCTATCAGCCTTGAACTTTGTCTTATAGATCCATCTACTCCTAACAGCCTTATTTCATGGTAGTAACTTCACAATGCTCCATGTTTGATTGTTTGCCAAGGCATGAAGTTCATCCTTCAGCGCATTTTTCCACTCAGGAATTAGTTGAGCCTCTTGAAAGGTTTGTGGTTCAATGTGATGAAAGATTTCAGCTAGGAATGTGGCATGATTGGGGCGAACATAACTATAACTCAGCACCTCAGTGATGGGGTGTTTAGAAGTAAAGGTGACATAGTCTCGGAGCCTTGCTAGAGGTTATCGAGCATGCACCGGATTATGCCTTGTAAAAGGCAAAGTGGGAGCCTCTTCGTGACTTTCATCTTGAGTAAACTCAATACCATTCTCCAGGTTTTTTGGTTGAGAAGACACATGAGTAGTGTCACTCACAATCTCTTCTTATCCATGATTGTTAGTGACTTCAGGATCCAAGTGCATTGAGTGATCAATGCACGCAGGTAAGGGGAATAAATCACACATTAGCTCCCCCTCTCGGGAGTGAGCAGCCTTTTTGGAGAAATAGGAAACCGTTTCCCCAAATTTTACATCCCTAGACACAGACTTCTTGTTAGTAATAGGATGAAAACATTTGTAACCTTTTTGGGTGGATGAATATCCCATCAAAACACACATTGCAGCCCTAGCATCCAGTTTGTCACGTTGCAATGCTTGAACATGAACAAAGCAAGTGCAGCCAAAGAATCTCAAATGTGATAATGTTATATGCCTTCCTTCAAGAGTTTCATAAGGAGAATTAAACTCTAAAACATGATTAGGCAATCTGTTGATTAAATACATTGAGTGAGAATGGCTTGTGACCAAAATTTCTTTGGTATGTTCATATGCAACATCAATGCACAGGTCTTCTCAAGTTAATCCATGTTCTTCCATTCAGAGATCCCATTTTGTTGTGGGGTTCCCACATAACTTGTTTGGTGAACAATACCATGAGAGCCCAAATATTGACTCATATTGTTCGATAAGAACTTAATGTCATTGTCGATTCTTAGGTTCTAAATGGTTAACTGAAATTGAGTTATGACAAGTTGATGAAAGTCTTTGAACATAGTGAAGACATCTTTATTTTATTTTAACAAATATAGCCATGTTGTTCTAGAAAAATCATCCACAAAGATAACAAAATATTTATATCGATCAAGAGATTTAATAGTTGGACCCCAAACATTGGAGTGTACAAGTTCAAAAGGTTTGCTAGCTCTAGACATTGAGGAACTAAAAAGGAGTCTAGTAAACTTGGAGCACTGACATGTATCACACATTATAGATGATTGATACATTTTGGGAAAAAGTTTAAGCAAAATAGCCTTTGATGGATTAGTTAATCTTTGATGCTAGATTTGTTGGTCCTTGGAAGGAATTGAATCAACTTGGAAGGCTTTGACTAGATGAGGTTCCTTGCATAGATACTAAAGACCAT